GCGTCGCTTGGGAGTGTGGCGGTGCTCCCGCCGAGGGTTCGGATCCCATATAGAGACCAGTCCGCTCACTGGTTGAGCGCGGTGCGGGCGCGACACCGAGGGTTGCGATACCGTTGCCGGTCAAAAAAAAAAACAAAAAGGGAAAAAAAAAAAAAAAAAAAACTGAAAGCAATGTTTTCTCCATTCCCCCATGAACTTACTGGTAACAGTCTATCTCTCCTGAGTGGAGTGGCTTAGGCTGGGTAGACAGGACAAGACCTGGGAGGGGTCTGCTGCCACTTCAGCTTCGAGACAGTGTTCTAGAAAACTTTGTATTCCCCCAAAAAGGCATGAGGGAAGGTTTTGTTGGGATGAAACTCCTGTCTTATCCTAACTTGTCCTGGTATGTGTAGGTTCTCCACATGCAGGTACACTGGGCCTGGACTGTGCACAGCCTCTCTACTCTCGTCCTGGCCCCGAGTCTCTACACCTTCATGGCAAGCCTCCCCACACATTAGTATCCAGCCCGGTGGTGCACTGCTACAGTGCGCCGCTTGGGAGTGCGGCAGCGCTCCCGCCAAGGGTTCGGATCCCACATACAGACCGGCCGCTCACTGGCTGAGCAAGGTGCGGGCGCAACACCGAGGGTTGTGATCCAGTTGCCGGTCCCGGTCCGGTACGGGCGCGACACTGAGGGTTGCGATCCATTGCCGGTCACGAAAAAAGACAAAAAGGAAAAAAAAAAAGAAACTCTCATTCCTTAGGGGCCAGCCCATGGCTTACTTGGGAGAGTGGTGCTAATAACACCAAGGCCAAGGGTTCAGATCCCTATATAGGGATTAGGGATGACCGGTGCGCTCACAGCACTCACTGGCTGAGTGCAGTGCGGCCGGTCTCAAAAAGGACCAAAAAAAAAAAAAAAGAAAGAAAAGAAACTCTCATTCCTTGCTGACGGGAATGCAAAATGGTGCAGCCACTTTGGAAGATAGTTTGGCAGTTTCTCACAATACTAAACATACTCTTACCATTCGATCCAGCAGTCATGCTCCTTGGTATTTATCCAAATGAGTTGAAATGTATGTTTGCACAGAAACCTGCACACAGATGTTTATAGCAACTTTATTTATAAATGTCAAAACTTCGAAGCAGCCACAATGTCCTTCAGTAGGTGAATGGATAAAAAAAATTGTGGTACATCCAGACAAATATTATTCAGCATTAAAAAGAAATGATCATGGGTTCAGATCTCCGTACCAGCCAGCTGCCAAAGACAAAAAGGAAGAAATGAGCTATTGAGCATGAAAAGACATGGAGGAACCTTAAGTGCATATTACTAAGTAAAGAAGTCACTCTGAACACTGAAGAGGCTACTACTACTTAGTCCATTCCGGCTACTGTAACAAAAGAACATAGACAGTGTTGCTTATAAACAACAGAAATTTATTTCTCACAACTCTAGAGGCTGGGAAGTCCAAGATCAAAGCATTGGCAGATTCAGTGTCTGGTGAGAGCCCATTTCCTGGTCCATAGATGGGTGCCTTCTTCTGGGACTCTTATAAGGGCACTAATCCCATCATGACCACCTGATCACCTCCCAATAGCCCCATGGCCTAATACCATCATATTGGTGATTAGGTTTCAATGTATGAATTTTGGGGAGAGACAGGCATTCAGATTATAGCATCTACATACTGTATGATTCCAACTATCACATATGATAACCACGCAAAACCCGTATACACACAAAACACCAGGAGTGAATCCTAATGTAAACCGTGGACTCCGGGTAATAATGATGTGTTGATGGAGGTTCATCATTTATAGCAAATTCATTCTTCTGGTAAAGGATGTTGATAGTAGAGAAGGCTATGGGTGTGCGTGGCAGGGGGAGGGTTGGCAGGGGGTATATGGGAATCTCTGTACTCCCTCGATTTTGCTGTGAGCCTAAAGCTGTTCTAAAAGTCTGTCAAAGAGGGCCAGCCCGGTGGCGCACTGGAGAGTGCACCTCTTGGGAGCGCGGTGGCGGGACGGGTTCAGATCCCATGTGGAGACCGGTTCCCACTCACTGGCTGAGCGCGGTGTGGGCGCAACACCTAGGGTTGCGATCCCATTACCGGTCAGTAAAAAAGACAAAAAAAAAGGAAAAACAAAAATAAAATAAATAAATAAAAGTCTGTCAAAGAAAAAAAAAAAAAAGAAAGAAAAGAGAAAAGCATAAAGAGACCAGGACTTCAATCTCAGACCTTTTCATGGCTTATCTGATACCTTGCTCTAGAAACTGATTTACTGTTGGGTTACCCTGAGGGTGACAGGGCTTCTTTGACGTACCACTTGAAATAAATTAATTTTTCAAGTAAACAATGGGAACATTCCTGTCTTAGCCACAGGTTTGTAAACTGCAATGTGTTCATTTGATTACTCTATTTCTTTCAGGACAACCCTCCATACGATAAGGGGGCCTTCAGAATCGAAATCAACTTTCCCGCAGAGTACCCATTCAAACCACCGAAGATCACATTTAAAACAAAGATATATCATCCGAACATCGATGAAAAGGGGCAGGTCTGTCTGCCAGTAATTAGTGCTGAAAACTGGAAGCCAGCAACCAAAACCGACCAAGTAATCCAGTCCTTCATAGCACTGGTGAACGACCCCCAGCCCGAGCACCCCCTTCGGGCTGACCTAGCTGAAGAATACTCTAAGGACCGTAAAAAATTCTGTAAGAATGCTGAAGAGTTTACAAAGAAATATGGGGAAAAGCGACCTGTGGACTAAAATCTGCCGTGATTGATTCCAGCAAGTGTGAGCAGAGACCCCAAGCAGTGCATTCAGACACCCCGCAAAGCAGGACTCTGTGGAAAATTGACACGTGCCACCGCCTGGCGTTCGCTTGTGGCAGTTACTAACTTTCTACAGTTTTCTTAATCAAAAGTGGTTTAGGTAACTTGTAAAGAAAGGATTAAAAATTTAAGATGTTCTAAAAAAAAAAAAAAAAAAAAATGTGTGATCTTTTGTGCAAACAATGAAGTAAATTTGCTCTTTAAAAAAAACTAACAGAAAAATATACAGAGCTTCTCAAATGAATATTAAGTACAAGATGATTTTATGCTTAATAAAAAGTAGGGTTCAAATATTTAAAATATTTTACATATATATTTAAGTTCAGAGTGAAAGATTTCAAGTAAGTACAGTATACTGATTGATAGTAAATTAAAATTGATGTACTGGTCAACATTTAGGGCATTCACATACCATATTTATTTTAGACAATTTACCCTTTTCTGTGGTAAATTCAATTAATGAGGGGTTGACCGGTTGGTTAGCTCAGTTGGTTAGAGCACAACCTTCTAATACCATGGTCATGGGTTCAGATCCCTGTGCCAGCCAACTGCTAGGAAAAAAATCAACAAAATTCAATTAATGAAGGACGCTGTTCATGTATAATAAATATTAATGTATATGCTGTTGTTGATAGCTATACTTTTATTATTCTCCTATTTCACTATTACAAGTACATCCCAGGTGACTGTTGACTGTACAGCTGCTTAATTATATAACTATGTGTACTGATTCTGCTGCTTACTGGGTGACCCTATAAAATTCTCT